GGGGGGGGGGGGGGGGGGGGGGGGGGGGGGGGGAGACATCATTTGCAACAGGTAAGAATTGGTTTTTGCAGGGCTGTGGTCACGAGATGCACATGTTTTTTCGGATGTGCGATATCATGTTAAGGCCCGGCCGTCTGAAGTTGATGTGGCTTTAATTAGCGAAAGGAAAATGATCATCATTGCTAAAAACGAATCTCAGTTAGTAATCTTACAATCTTTTTTTTTTCCTGCATTAGTTGCTTAAATTTGAAAAGACATATTTTCTGTTTACGCCAGTCTCGAATGTTATTTTATTCATTGAGCAGAAATACAGAATGGCTGTCTCTAACGTTTTATTGTACGCATAAATCAAAGAAATACAAAATGGCTCCCTCTTGTGTGTGCTTTGTGTGTGTGTGTATGTGCGTGTGTGTTGTGTTTGTGTTGTTTGTGTTGCGTGTGTGCAGTGTGTGTGTATTGTGTGTGTGTGTGTGTGTGTGTGTACGTATGTGTGTGTGCGTGTGTGTGTATTTGTTCAGTAAGCCAGGAAGCTAAAATTTCTGGAACATAGTTTCCTTCTATTTGGTGGACTGGAGATTATGTTTCAACAATTCCAGCTTTCTGGATTATTACGGTCTACTGCCTCCGCGCTATCCTCTTGTCTCCTTCCTTCCTGCCCTCTCCCCCGTTTCCTTTCCTCCCTTCCCTCCCATCACAGTTTCAAAAATTCGTTGCATTTCAACTTATAACTTCGCATTTAATTTTCAAAGGATGTAGGTTTGAGATGAGCTGAACCACTGGAATTTCGGTACTTTTCGTTCGCTGGACCGAGCAGAAATTACCGTTTTGAAACCAGGCAACTTTTTTATGCACATTACACATATTTTTTACGTTCACAGTAGCTTATCACAAAAACGCATGATAACGCAGATTATCATAAAATCAACAGTGTGAACTAGCACGTTTATTTGTTTGTATCACTCATTGTTTACAGTGTCTCAGGTTCTTTTTCTTTTTTTTTATCGTCCAGCTCTCCATGATATTTTTTTGCACGAGATCACTACTGTACAAGTTCATGATTTTATCGATTGTCTCGAACGAATACCACCAACCTCTTCAATGGTCTTGACACAACAACTGTTTGTGAATATTTTCCGGGTATTGTAGGTTCGATGATTTGCTGTTGGAGCTGCTGGATGATGTTCCGACTGTTTCGCTGGATAAATTAAAATGGGATACTGCAGCACCATTTTCAATCAAACGCATTCTTGCGTTTGCAGTGGCAGGCAGTGCCGAATTGAATTTCTACGATAGTTTGAATCATACATGTGCGCTTTCGCATTGCTCACATATGTGCCGAATTCAGCGTGATTCGAAAAAGCGTCACGAATGCTTGTGCCCAATTGGATTTGGCCTGCAAATGCCAAGGTTTTGTGCAGCACTTTTTTTAAATAGTGAATAATATGTTTTTACTTTTATCTTTTTACGACCTTTTCCGTAATCGTAAAATATCTAAATTTAAATTTAAATCAGGATACTCTGTTCTGTTCCAACAGGTCTTTTTTGTAGTGGTACGTCGTGTTTCGAGCATGTTTCATGCTTGCACTGGCATTTCAAATGTGACGATGGCCAGGAATGCATACATTCGATGGCAAAATGTGATGGACACCAGGACTGCTCGGACGGCAGCGACGAATCGCCGCACTGGTGTCGCAATGTTGCCATTGATAATTGGCCATGCGATGATCGAAAGGCTTCCATTCCGCGATCCCTCATCTGCAACGGTTTGGTTTTTGATGCTTCCGAAAGTTTTCGTCTTAGTTATGAGAAAGAAATAAACCCTAGTTCAGCAGTCTAGAGGCTAAGATTAAGAATAAATTGTAAATTAACAAACTAAAAATTCTTAGTTATCTAAAATTAGGAAATTTTGCTTGTAACTTTCAATATTTAGAGAATTGTAAGAAAATTCAGGAGTAAACGATTGTAACGATGAATCGGATGAAGCGCATTGTCGCTGTGCCAGTCCGTCTCATCATTTCGATTGCGCTGGTGTTGGTTCATTTGCCGCTTCCCGACCTGGAGAATGTATTAGCCGAGAGTTAATGTGCAATGGTGTCAGCAATTGTTATGGTGGCCAAGATGAGGCAAAACAGGTCCTTATCATTTGTTTTTACACTCATAAGCGTCGTAATGGACCGAAATTTATCAGATGTTCGGAACTATATTAATTCTTACCCCAATTCAGATCTGTTATTATTTTTACCAAATTTCACGATTAGTTCACAGATAATTTGATAAAATTTACAGTAATATTGCTGACACAATAGTTTGGCATCATGCGCTGGTTTCATAGTTACAGCAATTTTCTTAGGGGGATTGGTCTTGTCACATAAACAGGCGGATCCGGGGCGGTCTTCTGAGTGGGGGGGGGGGGGGGGGGGGGGGGGGG